CCTCAAACTCAGCCTAGGAAATGACAAACTGTAGTAACTATTAACTTGCCATCTTTAACCATATGAACTGTTTGTGGGTCTATAACGAAATCTAAAACAAACCAGAACATTGTGTGCAGTAAATAAACCTTCAATGTCACAATTTTTAACCCCCAAGAGGAATTTTAAAAGGGATTAGATGGGGAAAAATAGAGAAATAGAAGAAGAGTAAGAGATTAGAAGCAAAACTACAGGACACAGGAAGGTTATGCAAAGGAAGCTGGTAAAGAAGTTAGGAAAACAGAAATGGAAACAAGAACAGAACAAAAACACTAGAGACAATGTTCACAGGCACATAATAACAAGAACAGACATGAAGAAAAAAGACAAAACAAAGGAAGAAAAGAAAAAAAAAAGGGGAAAGAAGAAAAAAGTGTCGGGGCTAGGGAGATAGCTCAGCGGCCTAAGCGCCTGGCCAGCAAGCTCAAGGACCTGGGTTCAATTCCTGTTACCGCATGCCATGCCAGCCACAGAACCCCGGGCCCACCATGCCAACCACTGAAACCAGGTGTGGTGGTGCATACCTGTAATCACAGTGCTGAGGAGGCTGAGACAAGAGGATCACTACGAGTCTGAGCTGTGTGGTGAGACCCTGTACCAAATGAATAGATATGAGATTAAAAAAATATTGTCCACTTCAAAGTGTGTCTCTGCTGTCACTGACAAATAGGCAGACAGAGCCCAGATCCATGTTGATTAATCCAGCAGGCCAGCTGTATGTAGCTTTATGCAGAGGTACTGGATAATCCTAGCAAGCCTGCACCTTTAGTTCCACTGCAGCTCGAGCTGGTTTCTTGTCTGTGAGACCGGAACCTCAGCCTGCAACCCTTCATGTACCTCCTGCCAACCTGAACTCTGAATTTGGCTCTTTGACCAATTTGAACTCAGCAACTTTAACCTGACATGGGGAGCCACTAGATGGCGCTAGCCCTCAGCTCTTGAGTCTTAAGCACAGTTGCAGCCTCTCCCAAGATGACTACCAAGTAGTTGCCCTCTGCAGCAGGACATCTGCACCCAAATAACTCACCAGCCACTGTAGTCTGTTACATCCATGGTTCCGTTCTACTGGCACAGTTCTCTTTGAAGGCTTCTGAGGTCACCAGTAGTCACTGTGTGTCTGCAGGTTCCAGCTGCCCCTCCCGCATGGTGACGCAGAGCTCCGGGAGAAGCCAGTTCTTGCTATCTCCTCCTTCTGCGTTGAGGTCTCTCTCTTCGCTCTCCCTGTGGCCTTCAATTCCCACTTCAGATCCTTCCTGGGTCCTGGGGACCCCTTTCCCTCCTCTTCCTCACATTGCCATCTTCCAACATCTGTAGAGCAAATCTCAGAGAGGCTGTTTTTCTGCTCTTCACCACGCTGCCTTGTTCTGGATTCTCCTTTCAGAGAGGGCTTGCTTCTCTTTTGTTTAAGTGTGTAGGATTGGG